GAGTGCATGGCGACCTACAAGGTCACCCGTAGTAGTTCGCCCGGAAGGCATGGCGACATACGGTCAACACTGTAGATTTCACCCTATTTGAGCAATTAATCTTGGGATAGCATTATCTCGTGAAATAATTTGTCCGAGAACGTTATATTGAGAGTTTAGCCAACATGGTACGGTACATAATATTCATGTATACTTCATGTAAGTGTTATATTTTTTTTATTCCATTAAGGAATTTCAGTGGTAAAAGAAGTGTTATTTTCTTTAAAAAAAATCGATTTCAAAAATTATATATGCAAGTTGTACATGCCTTTTCAATGACTTAAAAATATTTTGAACATACCTTTTCATCATTTTTAATTTTCTAATAAATTTACGAAAAATCCTCACCCTTACATGTGTGTATAAGGTATTATTTCATTCGTACTCAAACATGTATGTACAAATACGATCTTTTATGTATTCTTGAATTTACGAAATAAATTTACATGTATTCGACGCCTATACTCGAATCCAAATAATAAATAAATAATGTATATAGAGCACCTCATTGCGGCAAATAAGGCTAGCAGATGGGATTAATTTCAAAAGAACCCATTAACAAGGAGGATAAGGAGTGGAAAAGGAAAGAGTAATAATGTATTTGATGAGGAAACTATCTGCACCTTCCCCTCGGTACCATCATCAACATTGATTGGTGTAAACTCACCCTCTGTTCTATTTGCCCTGCAATTCCATTGTGTTCTTAGCCATTAGGATTCAAGAAATACATACATACATATAAAAAGATGGCTTAAAACACAAATGCCCCCTAAATTTAGTGAACTAGATTAAAAAGTTTAGTCAAATTGGCCCCCGGGACTTGATCGGTTGTTGTAAGAAGTTTAGAGGCCAATTTGAACAAACTTGTCAAGCTTAGGAGAAATTTTGTGTTTAAAGCCTAAGAATATACCTTGGAAATTGAGAATTTTAGAGAAAAATGATGAAACATTCATACATGTATGCATGCATGCATCAATTATCCCATGAACTTTTCTTTCGAGCAAATTAGTTCCTTGACGAGTTTAATCAATTTGACCCTTGAACTCGATAAGTTGTAAGAAGTCTAGAGACCAGTTTGAACAAACTTGTCAAGTTTAGGAGACATTTTGTGTTAAGTCTAAGAATATACCTTAGAAATTGAGAATTTTGGGGACAACATGATGAAACATACAAGCATATATACATGCATGCATGCATAGAAACATACATACATTAGAAAAATACCTTTGGGATTGAGAATTGGGGCAGAAAATGATGAGATAATCTAGGGCCTTGCAGGTGAAAGTGCTGGTAGCATCATCATAAGCATAGCTGTAAGCCCTGGGGCAAGCTTTCTTGAAAACTGAAGAATAGAAGGAAGGCCTGCATGTTGTTGGGTTAGCAAACTCCCCACTGCAGCAATATTGATATTGTCTAAATGCCTCACATGCACTTTTGCACCCTACCACTCTCCCTCTCCCTCCCCCTTCTCCATCTCCTCCCACAACTTGCAGTTCTTTAGGGCAACCTGTCTTACACACAGATACACATTAGGGTTCGAATTCCGAATCATACTAGATGTCGGTTTAAGAACGACCGAATAACCCGAGCAACATCTATAATTAGTGACGGATTTTGACAAAACAATATGAAGCTTAATGAGAACTTTAAAAAAAAACTTTAATGTTCTAATCTTAATTTAAGAATGATTGAACGAATTCGAACAACGCTCATAGTTCAAGTCAAGTTATTTTAAACATTATCATACATGCACGTATATTAGGGTGCAAATTTGAAAGAGTTAATTGCATCATATGTCCCTAAACTATACATTTATTTTCAATTATAAACTTTTGAATATTCTAATTTTCATCCTCAAACTATGACTCTTATTCTAAATTAGTCATTAAACTTTTGAACATTCTAATTTCATCCCTAAACTATAACCCTCTTTCTTAATTGGTCCCCAAACTTTTGGATATTTCAATTTCATCCCCAAATCCATGCAAATATGTAATTAGTTTCAACCATAATTTAACCTAAACTTTGTTTTTTCCAAACATATAATGATATAAGTTGGCCTAATGATTTTATTAACGAGGGATATGATTAGAATATACGTATAGTTTGTGATGAAATTGGAATGTTCAAAAATTTTGGGGACCAATTTAGAACAAATGCCATAGTTTGGGGATAAAATTGAAATGTTCAAAAGTCTGAGGACTAATTTAGAATGATAGTCATAGTTTGGGGATAAAATTGAAACATTTAATGTTTAGGAACCAATTTAAAATGAGACTCATACTTTGAGGACATATGATGTGTGATTAACTCAATTCCAAATATAGAATTATAGTTGTTAAATATAAGGGTAAAGTACGCATTTAGTACCTAAACTTTAATTTTTTTTAAAACATACATAACATTTAGTTTTCATTTCATTTTAAAATTTTATGTTTAGCATCTAAACTATCAGTTTTTATCCATTTTAGTACGTAAAATTCAATATTTTTCAAAATTTAATGTTAAATTTTGAACATGGGTACTAAAATGAAACAAAAACTAAAGCTTTTAACAGAGGGGTACTAATATAAAACAAAAACTAAACTTCAAGTATGGTTTTGAAAATTTTGAAAGTTTAGGAACTAAAACGGACCAAAATTAATAGTTTATGTACTAAACTCATAATTTACCCTAAATTTAAAGGTGATTGAATGAATTTTCTTGGAGTAATATCATGAAAGAGAGTCTTAGTTCTTACCCATATTAAGATCATAAGCACACCCTGTGGCATTACATGCACCATAAACTCCACGAGGAGCAGCAACAACCGGCAGATTATAGCCATCGACAATGCTAACATCGTAGAAATCTTGTTGATTCCCAACACCAAACGTTATTTCGAACAACGAAGCCGGTGGAGTCGCACCCATGCCTGCACATTCGAGCTTCCCCCCGCAATCCCCGGTCTGGCAAGATCCGACACCGAAGGCATCGAATGAGCACCCTGTCCGGCCCCAAACCCGACCCGACCACCCCGCAGGAACCGGTATCCTCACACTCTGGCCTGCATCCAACTGGAACCCCGTAGATGCGAGCTGTGGAGTCCCCGAACCGCCGAGCGTCCCGGGCCATATCGTGTAGGGGCAATTGTTTGCAACCGTGAAAGTGTAAGCATTCGAGGTGTAACAAAATGTGAGGAAAACGACGAAGATGACATTAGAAATGGGGCAACAAGAAGTTGACATATTAAGCAATAAACTTTGGGATTTGAGGTTCAAGAGAAATCAAAGTGTTATTTGATATTCAAATTATGATTATATATATATATATATAGGTGTGTTTGTATATATAGGTTTAGCCTAAAGCCTAAAGCCTAAAGGGATACGATTACGTTGCTTTTGTAGGGTTGTAATGAGCCGCAAGATTGCCTTTTGGGGTTTAGGATTTCCTTTTTGTGTAAAGGTTTTGGCAATGCATGGCCTCTTCAATAAGCAATTCTTTGCTTTGGGATTTGTGCAGGTAATACCATGGCACTAAATTAATGTATGAATTAGTATTTAGGGTAAAATATTGATATTTGTTTGATCGAGTGTAGGGATGTAAATGAATTGAAATTATAAAATTATATCCGTATTCTATTATATTTTTAAAGTGTTCATATTTGGTTTGTATTAGTTTAAATGTTTTAATATCGTCCTCGTTTAACGTTGACAAACGTATTCATTTAGCCAAACATATTCATTTATATGTTAAGAAAGTGAAATTATATCACTAGTCCTAAAACTCCATAGATTTCACAATTTAAACTCTAATGTTCACCTCGTGTTCACTTCAATCCTTATTTTCACCAATATTTAAAAGTGTAAATTACAACCAACAACCAGTTGATTTATTGGGATGAGGCACTAGGTCTCTTAAGCAAGGTCAAAGGTTCAAATCCTGAAGTTTGCGAATGGAGCAAACTGGGTTGGGATGGTTGCCCTCGCCTCTGCAGTACCCGATCTGGTTAGTCGATCAACAGATCGGATACCGTTGATTAATTCAAAAAAAGGTAAATTACATATTTAGTACTTAAACTATCAATTTTGGTCTGTTTTAATGTCTAAACTTTCAATCTTTTCAAAACAATACCTAAAGTAGTTTTTGGTTCATTTTAGTACCCATCATTAAAAACTTTAGTTTTTGTTTCATTTTGGTACCCGTTCAAAATTTAACGTTAAACTTTAAATTTTTTTTTTGAAAGTTTAGGTACTAAAACGAATCAAAACTGATATTTTAGGTAATAAACGCGTTAAGTTTTTAACGACGAGTACTAAAATGAAATGAAAACTAAACATGAGGTATGATTTTAAAAAAAAAGTTTAAGTATTAAAATGGATTAGAACTGATAATTTAGGCACCAAATGTATAGTTTACCCTATTTAAAATGCAAATGTAAAAGAAAACATAAAAAAGGGAATCAATAAATAAGTTTATAAACAAATCGATAGACGAGCTAGTCCGTGAACATAAACGAATATAATACGCTTCTATTCATGTTCGTTAGTTCGTTCTTCTATTAAATGAACAAAAAAATTATTCATACATTTATTTTACTTAATAACAAACATAAACAAATGGTTTATAAACAATTCATCAAACATTTTATTCATTTACCCCTCTAAAATTAGAGTGATTAGAAATTTGATGTATTCCAAGTAAAGTACTAGATTCCAGCTTAACACCTTATTTAGAGGTTTGAGCTGACTCGACTTCCTATATAATAAGACCGGTTCAATCGATTTGTTCCGGTTCAACTGGTCTGACAGACCGGTTCGGTTCGGTTTGTTTTGTTATTCCGTCATTAGGAGATTGGCCAAGGCACATGCCCTGATGCAAGAATCTCGCAAGTGCTAATCAACTTTCAAATTCCAACATGGTCCAAAGTTCCAATTTTAACAATTATTTGAAATGAAGCGAAGGTTCAAACGTTAACCTCAAATTGAACTTCAAAATCAGCATAAAGTGCTAATGGCCCGTATCTGTTTGTTCCTAGAAGATGCTGACCTTTCGGATATTAAAATGACACCAGCTCGGACTCTAAACCATACACGCAGAACACGTCGAGGACAACCACGATCTGTATATGGTGGCAAAACGATCATCATGGGAGAATTCTGCGTCTTCGACGTGGTGTCTCTCGTCTTACGTACATTTTCTCCACCTCATTGAGTGGTCGACTAGATCCGTCTGGTAAACTTACAAACTTCCACCCGCCACCATCTCCGCGTTTTCCTTTTGCGCCCATTTTCTCCACTGTGAAGTTCCAACCTTCAGTGGGGAGCCTCCGACTGTACTTATGTCGCTTTACTTGACCAGCGATCTATAAATAAACAAGACCAGATTGGCATTAAATATTAATATAGACTACAAAACAGAATTAACAGAAAGCTAGACAGTCTAATTCCGTACGTCAAGTGAAGTAAACATAGATAGAGAAATGCAGACATCATCCTTTGCCCTACCCGCCTGTGTTATATGTGTATCCCTACAAGTTACTGAAAACATGGTTCTTCGGGCGGATCCATATACCACCTTTGGCCGAGGGAAGGGAAAAGGTTAACCTAGCCTTTGAATAAACAGCTCTTGGTCTAGGGAATATCCAAGGAAGGAAGGCAATCTCTCACACGAAGATGGATGGGCTTAATCCAAAAGCCAAAATTGTTGAGAAGATACCATTTGAATAAAAGTAGGGAAGGTGGTGAACATTTGTTCCATTGGTAGTTAAGATAGCTACTCGGATAGAAGAGAATCGTTGCGAGAGAAAAGGTTTCACATGAATTTCATCGATTAGTTCCGTTGAGAGAGAGGGAGGGAGAGAGAGAGAGAGAGAGAGAGATGTGACCATGAAAAAAGCTGTAAAATAGAAAATGTTGCAACACGAAAAATGGCAAGTGACAATTTGTATTGCAATTCTAATTTGTTTCTTTTCATGAAGGCTGAGAGGGAGGGTCATACCTTCATTTTATTGAAGTTAAACCTCTGAACAAATTCTTCATAAAGCATATCATCTTCTAAAATTTAGTTTTGATTATTTATTCTATATACATTTTCTGAAATTTTAGTTTTTTTGAATTTTAATGCAAAAAGTTTGTACTGTTAATATTATCGTATTATGTTTGTTTAGTTTATTATAATATTATATTAACATTAAATTTGTTTCATAATATTTTTAAATAAACAATTGTGTGTGTATATATGTGTAATATTAAGAAGGTAAAGTACATAAATGGTTCCTTGACTATAGGATACTGTTTTATTATGTCCCGACTATGAAATATTACAAAATAATCCCTCAATTATAGGATATTACTTTATTGAATCCCTCGACTATTAAAAGTTATAAAATGATCACTCGATTATTTATTATGTTCCAAACTCGTCCTTTTGCGTTAAGAAATTAACAGTTGTCTAAGCTAAGAGTTAACATGTTAATTGAGATATGACAAAATTTGATCGCATGATCTCAACAACTATCATATCTCAGTCAGCATCTTAATGTCCAACTCAAATGACCGTTGATTTTTTTTAACAAAAATGACAAGTTTGAAACATAAGTAATAGTCGAATGATCATTTTGTAACTTTTAATAGTCGAGGGACTCAACAAAACAACACCCTATAGTCGAGGGACCATTTTGTAACTTTCAATACTTAGAGGACTCAACAAAATAATATCATATAGTTAGGGTTATTTATGTACTTTACCCTCTCAATCCTATACAACCACATACTAAAAAGGGTAAATTATGCATTTAGTATATAAACGATCAATTTTAATCCATTTTAGTACCTAAAGTTTCAATTTTTTCAAACAATACCTAACATTTAATTTTTATTTCATTTTAGTATCCGTGTATAGCACCTAAACTATTAGTTTTAGTATGTTTTAATACCTAAACTTTAAAAAAAATCAAAATTTAATATTAAATTTTGAACAGGATACTAAAATAAAACAAAAAATAAAGTTTAGATACGATTTTAAAAATTTAGATACTAAAACGAATCAAAAATGATAATTTAAATACTAAATACGTAATTTATACTTAAAAACTAGTATAATTACTCAATGGATGAAAGCGAGCCATTTTTCGAATTTACTTTCGGACATATTTTGTACGCACTAGAATCTAAACCATAAATCCTAAATTCGAAATAATAAACTTTATTTTTTTTTATTTTTGTCGTAAATTTTGCTTGTAATTAATTGTATTAGTGTATTTCAACCTATTTCGATAAATATAGGTGCATATTGACTCCGGTTGGTATAAGATGAACTTTAATCTTATCCCACAAGTCTATTAACAGAGTACACAAAATATATGAACATAAGGGAGCAATTGTCTTCGTTTGATCAAGTATACCTAACAGTGTCTACTGATCTACAATGGATCACAATTGTGGGCAATGAAACCCTAGATTGATTCAGATATGATACTAATACCAAGATCGAATCAGTTAAAGAAACTGCTTTAAAAACTCCGTAGCCACCAGCCTACCTCGCGTACTTACCGACATTTTCAATTCAGTTATCTCTTTATCGATATCCTGCAATTTCGAAAACAATACAAAAGTTATCGACAAGAACACGGTACACACTACCTACCAGAGAAACCATAATAAGTATAGAGACATGGCCATCAAAATATAAGAGATTGACCATAGCAATGTCCGACACATACTCCTATCCAACTCTTCCATCCAGTCCGAGTGAATGGAACTGCAACAGAATAATGGAACCGCTGAAAAATAATTTTGGTTCTTAAGTTCAGTTCAAGGAAGGCTGGAAATTATAGTTAAAAGTTTTTGGATGGCAAAATAGTGTCCATAAATCACAGATGAGTGCCAGAGTTCAATGGTGGCCCAGAGTAAAGGTTTAAGTTCGTGTCTTAAGAAATATACGGGGGTTCTTCACGGTTTAGTACGAATACGATTTTACCAGAAGTGATTTTAGAACAAGGGAATGAGGGAGAAAGTAAAACGCAAAGTGAAGAGCAGAGGCAAACATACTTAAATATCCCTCAAAGCATTTCTTCTTAAATCTTTTGAAAGTGTTCATACTATACACACAACTGCAGAAGATGATGCAGTTGCAAACTCTGGAGTATATATATCTTACCTCCATGAATTGCACAATAAAATCGATGAGCTTTTTTTTCTGCATATCTTCACAGTGGTAGTTTGTGACAAGGAAACTGATGTCATAACCCTGCGTAATGAAGCAATCGATTGAAAAAGAAATGAAAATCGCTTGAAAATTCACTAGCACTTTAAACTATGAAGAAACGAAGAAATTTTTTGTTTACGTTTACAATAAGCCTGTGTCATAATCCAAGAACATGCTTTACCGACTTAACAAAACAATTAATCACGATATTGTTACTCTGCTCCCTATTTCGCACAATTAGTAAATGTTGATTATAGTTGAACATAAAGTGTTTCTGGAATAAGCGTCAAAACAATAATAAAGAAAAGGAAATCAAGTTATAAATAAGGCAGCCTCGGTTCATGAATGAAATCAAAATTTAAGAGCCATGTGTAGTTATAATCAGGAAGTAAAGAGACACCTATTCTAAACAGGTTTAAGAGGTTAGTGTGTATTAAAAGGAAAGAATTAAAAGTCTTTACCCACAAGTGGCAAAATGTAGTGATTGTCATGATTGCTTTTTGCAAAAATGCTGTATACATAACCATTTCTCAAGACAAGTTAGTTGTTTAATCACATCAAGTTGTCGAGCAACATAATTTAGAAGACAAATCAAGTGCCGACTATGAGATCAAAATGTATGTACCTGTACTGGTTTTCTTCTCAAAACTTGAAATGCTTCTGCCCTCATTGACAAAAATCTAAGAAACTTTTTAGCTAGTATATTTTCAAGTTCATCAGCCTGTTTTACCTATAAAAGAAGAAAGTACAATTATAAGAACAAAATGGGAGAAAAAATGCAAAATTTATCCTGATATTAGTAAAGAATGAACTTCCGTGACAATAAATATTCATCTTGAATCCAACAAAGTTAAATACAAGAGAAGACATCATCCTATGAAGAGTAGTTCAGTTTATGAAACAACAGATTCTTTTTTAACATTAGATGATTAGGAGAAGAAAATACGAGATATTTCCTCCCAAATAATTCATCTCAGGCTGGAAGAAAACTTCTCTTTGATAAATCAAAAAGTAGATTTCAAAAGTTGAACCAAATTCAACTGAAACCTGCAACAAATGGACTGAAAAATAGTTTGGGGGAAAAAGAAAAAGGGGGCCAATTGTTTATATTGAAAAATTCTACATCATTTTAAAGATAAAATAGTTGTCAGCATCATGCATGTGATGCTGTTTATTTAATCTAAAAGCAGGAAAAACAGACCCTCTTCGCAGCAATTACCTCTACCAGGCAAAAGAAACATCCAGGGAAAGATTATTTATTTTCACCTTGAGGCTTATCCGTAGTGAATTGATAGATGTTTCTATTAAGCATTTTTCGGCCTCATTTCGACATATCAAAACCTGTTTGCAAATGGGCATATTAAAATCCACAACCAGCAACCTAAAGGAAAGTTAGACAGGGGATAACTGAACAAATAATTAATCATTTTCTAGCTCTACCAATTAAATCACATAAAATCAACTCTATTGGATGCATGTAACTTGATGTCATTCTTCATCATTGCATTGCAGGACATGAATAGTTGAGAGATGGGAAAATGTCTAGGTGGAGGCAGACTTGTAGCATACCCCTTGATTTAGTAACAAATCCCTATGGCTTCATAATTTCAAGAAAGGTAAAATTCAACCTTAATTTGTCCAATTTACATTTTTCAATCCTCCAGTTCAAGATCAAAATCATGTTAAAGGTATGTAATGATATCAAGTGATTAATATAAAAAAAAAATCCATACTGGGTGGATTCTTGTTCGCCTGAAAACTTAAGAGTAAAAATGCAGAAAACACAAGGTAAGGTTCCATTCCATAGTTTCTTTGGCTGCTTTCTTTATACAGTTTGTTTTTTCTTCTCGACTTATATTGTTTCCTTTTGGTTCCTTTAATTGTTCATTTTTTATAAAGCTAAAGTAAATGGTAGAAAACAGGATAAACTGGAATAGAGATGAGCAAAGAATTAAAATGAAAAATCAGTAAGGTATAATTTTCAATTTGGTCGTTCTTCAGTGTCTGTGTGTGTGTGTGTGTAAAAGTTAAGCTAAAAAGCAAACAAGGAATAGTCTGCCTATGTATCTTAAGTCTAGAAGATGGTTCTTACAGGATTGAGTAGAAGTTCCGGGCTAGTCCTGCAAAATATGAAAAGAAAAAACATAAATAGTTTGTACTGGATGCAGAACATGAAAGTTTGCACAGTTAGATTAGAGAGGTAAGACTTCCACTTTGATCTTTGGTCAATATTAAAAAATATCACAATCAAATAAAGTTTATCACTGAATTTCTTTAGAGGAATTATTCATTACACTGCCAATAAAATGAAGATAGTATCATATGAAGTATTACTAAAAATGCATGAACAAGCAGAAAAAAAGCTTCAAATGCTTAAAATATCTAGTAAAATAAAGAAGCAAAGAAGAGTAGTAACTATTAACTTGCTAGATAAAGGCCCATGTAAGATGTACCCCCGCACTGAAAACCTTGTTGCAGAAAAGAAGAAACTAGAATTTTCAGTGTATGCCAATGTCTTGGGGAGGGGAACGAACATGGCAATCTAAATAAAAAAGATGGGATGAGAAAACTGCAAGACCAAAACATGATAAAAAGCTTGCATAAATGAATGGCTTCAGAGACTTGAAATAATGCCTGCATCTCAGAAACAGAAATCATTCTAAAATGACCAAAGAACTTATTTAACTTTAATGAAGCAAAATTAACTGGAGCTCCTACACCATGGCATTGGTACTATTTAGGAAAAAGGGGGGGAATCTTTTGAATAACAAATCTAAACAAGACCTTGTCAATTAAATGTAAGAGCATAACTACACGGAAAATCAGTTAAGACTGGTCTATGATCAGCATATGATAAGTAGCAATGTCTGTTATCATTTCTTATTAATCTTTCAACACCTCGTTAGTGGTTTGAGAACTTCCTATTCATGTAAATTTATACAAATAATAAAAAAAACTCAAATTCTTAAATAAGAAATTAAAAATGAAAGTGAAATCAATATACATACTTTTTGGTACTATTTAGGAAAAAGGGGGGAATCTTTTGAATAACAAATCTAAACAAGAACTTGTCAATTAAATGTAAGAGCATAACTACACGGAAAATCAGTTAAGACTGGTCTATGATCAGCATATGATAAGTAGCAATGTCTGTTATCATTTCTTATTAATCTTTCAACACCTTGTTAGTGCTTTGAGAACTTCCTATTCATGTAAATTTATACAAATAATAAAAAAAAACTCAAATTCTTAAATAAGAAATTAAAAATGAAAGTGAAATCAATATACATACTTTAGTTCAACTTCTGGCTTGTTATGCCTCTCAACTTCTTGACAAGGAAAATTCTGCAACCAAAATGTAAATAAGAGAGCGAGATTGAATGAGCACACATATAATCTAACCAAAAAAATCAAAAGAAATTCTTTGCCAATCAACACGTTTAATTGAAATACATCTTTCATTATGCATATGGTTGTTCAAAGGAACACCAGTCTGTAAAGATTAAATACACCTCGTAAGTCGTAACTAGAGTACAGAAATATTATACATGTAGGCAGAGAAGGATTATCCAAAAGCACCATAATATATGGTGGAATTGCTTTAAATTTTGTGATAATGTAGAAAGTGCATACATGAACTGGAAATTGGAGGAAAAGCCACCTCTATTCAATATCCAGAAGGACTTCAAAGACCATTCCCATGAACCAAACATCATACATTTCTAACCATTCCCATCTAACTACTTTAAATCCTCAGCTCTTAATCTATTATCATTATGTCAAACAAAAGGCTGGTGGTTAAACCTCCTTTTCCAAGCCATTCTAGCAACCGCAAATACTAAGATACAAAATACATTCATAGAACTTCAGACCATAAATTTCAGGCATTACACTTTCTCTATCGATACTCTCTAGCAAGTACTTCACAAAAAACTTATAAACTTCATTTGCATACCTGGAGACACATAGTAGCTTCAAGAGTATTCCTTACGCAAGTCAAATACAGCTTCAATGGATTTGCCTAATTTTTTTTAGTTAAAATCAATAAGAGGAATTACTAAATAATGCATTAAGGTTTTGCGATGAAATAAAGAATCTATTAAAAAATCATTAATCGTGTTTCGAGAAAAGCCGAAACAAGCGAGAAATCAAGCAATTGGATCCAAAAATAATTTCCAAAAAAATGAAAGGATAACAGAGGGGGGGGGAAGAGAAACTGATGTTTTTTTTCTCCAATAAGAAAAGACAATTGATCTGGAACTGATCTATAACGTAAATATCAATATTTGTTTACTTTTTCTAGTTACTTTCTAGGCAACCAAACAGATTCAAGTCGAGAAAAGGAAAAATTCGGAGTTCTTACCATTTTTCTTCTTTTGATTATTCGTGGATTGAAGCAGCTGAGTGATAGAAAGAAACGATTTAAGCAGTTGGACTTGGCGTTATCGCTTCGCTAATTGTTTGATTTGCTTATGAATGGAAGAAAAATTATTTACCTAATGAAATCTTCTTCCTCTTTTGATTTGAGATAACAAATATATCAAAAGCAAAATTGAAAAAGCAAAAGCAAGAAATGATGAAAATATGATCGAAAAGAGATCCGACCTGCCGGATTCGAACCAGCGACCTAAGGATTGGCTGAAGGCCTTAACCAACTACAGTCCTCCGCCCTACCAACTGAGCTAAGGTCGGTTTGATTAATTTGTCTAATTTATATATTTAGTCTATAATATTAAGCCCTAGTTTTACTCACATTTTTTTTTAAATTATAATGAAATAAATATTTACATATTATAGTTTAATAACAAAATATTAATTTAAATTATAAATTAAAATTTTCAAAACACATTTTCTAAAAAATTAATAATTTTATTAGAAATAGTAAATATTCAGAATTACAATAAAGGTTTATAATGGTTGTCCCTTGTTCCCATATGTAATGGGGTAAGGGGGAGGTGAGATAATAGGCTGCCCCCAATACCAGATTAAGAGCAGCTTCCGTAGGAGACCTCCAAGTTATATGAAATGCCCTCCATAGGACTCGATCCCACGACCTCAAGGTTAAGAACCTTGTGCTCTACCAACTGAGTTAGATGGTCATTTCATAAACATAAATTAAACCCATATTTATGATGTTTTTCTATAAATATTGATACAAGAAACTAGTCACTTAAGAGTTAAGTTAACACAAGAAAAAAGTTAAAAACCTAAAAAAACTCAAAAAATAGATATGAAGAAATCTGATCGTGTCAATAAATAAACCACAATATGATATTAAACTATTGAAATACCATAAACAACCGCAAATAAGAATCGAGCGTCTCGAGAAAACTATCTACGAACGCAAACTGCGTATCTAAATCTAATCTAAAAGCCCAAAATAGGAAATATCGATAAGATAACAAATAGGTGTCATATTGATTAGTTGAGAAGACATTAGATTCAACACTAAAAATTAAACAAAAAACAACTAAACCCTAAAGGCCGCGTATTTAAGTCCAATCTGATAGTCTAAAATAAGAAATATCAACAAGATAACAAATAAATGGCATATCTAATTAAAAGTTACGTACAATAATTTAAAATTTATTATAAAAAAACTTTTTAATTTCTTGAGTTATTCAACTTTCATTTCATGTAAAAAAATCATATTCTTTTATAAGATAATATTTACTCGAAAGTCCAAATGAACCAACAAAATAACAAAAGAATGATAACTGTACAAATCATATATAGCTAATTAAAACTAACCAATAATTTTGAAGGAAAAAAGAATGTAGATTGGGGGTTGAGGGGTGTGAGCAGGGCTGTAAATGAGACGAGACAGATCGTGAGCTACTCGAGATCGACTCGGTCAACACTCGATCAACACTCGAATCAAATGAACTTGACTCGAGCTCGAACTCGATTCGAATTCTTAACGAGCTAAACTGATCTACTTAATACTCGACTCGAAAAGCTCGTGAGCTACTCGTTATATTATAATTTTAGATTTTTTAAAATTACATTATTAAAAATATATTAAAAATACATTATTGATAATTATAAATTTTTAAAAAATATATTTTTAAATGTAATATAAGATTTTTGTAGGTTCAAATTCGAGTTTGAGTTCGAGCTTGAATCGGTCTTCAATCGAGTTTGAGTCTCGAGCTTCAATCGAGCTCCTGAATTTTTTTTTAGTTCGAGCCTTTTCGAGTTCGAGTCGAGTTTCAATATTATATTTCGATTTCGAGCTGAGCTTGATAATTTTTAGTTCGTGAGTTTTCGAGTCGAGTCAAGTCTAATTTTAAACTTTTCGAGTTCGAGTCGAGCTCAGCAATACTCGAGCTCGACTCGGATCGTTTACAGCCCTGGGTGTGAGGCTAAGAATCACTCAAAATTTCATTAGCCAATTCTCTGGCTAACTTGTCAGCACGATCGTCGTTGCCACCGGCAAATGAATAAACCCTAAACGCCATTTGAAAAGCTCTCCATAGCAAATTCTTATTCACTTTCTTTTGTACATCAGCATTGCATGTTGCACCTCTTGTTTCTCTCCATTCCTGCAAGAAAAAACCATAGTTCGAGAGTACAATACGAGTGAATACATCCGAGATGAATAGAATTTGTGAATAAACTTATTCAAGAATACGATTATCTATTTAATCCGACAGTTAAATTTATAAGATGTTTTTTTGAGTCAGGTGAAATCTATATGTATCTTTTACGAGCAGAGGCGGACGTACATGGCTTCATAGGAGAGCCATTGCACCATTATTTTGAGAAAAAAAATTTTAAATTTAGTTTAGTTTACTAATGAGAATAGGAAAAAATAAAAAAAATTGCACACCCAAATTTTTTTAGAATCGAGTATTAAAATTTCGAACCTCAAAATTTTAATTTCTAGATCCATCATTGTTTACGAGTATACTCGAGTTTGAGGATTGAACAAGACCTCTTTAAAAATTGTATTAAGCGACGAACAAACCCGCTAGAGTTAAACAACAATGCGGAAGCAAAACTCAATCGGGGCTAAGCCAAGCCACCTAAGTCAAACGGATCTCAGGTTAGGCAACAATGTGGAAGCAAAACACCATTGGGGCTAATCCAAGCCTCTAAGATTGGATGAATCTCAGCAACACAAGCACTGTATGAACTTTCTAAGTCACATATAATTATTGTCAGAGTTCGTAATCTAAATTTCTTTTAGTCTAATAAAAAATTTTGTAGTACAATACATTTGACCAAAAATAAGGATCTATAGTCGATACAGGGTCGAGGTTGTAGCCTACTATTGGTATTGTTGGGATATAAGGTCGGAGCCCTCGCGATATGAAACAATATTATTCAACTAGAGTTATGTGTCAGTATAACTATATATATAAATATAGGGTTCTTGAGTTTGGTACAATCCTCCTATAATATACCATCCACTATAGTTAGCGATGGCAAGTGGCAACGGGTCGAGTTAGGATCGAACTTTCAATCAATTTGATCCGACCTAAAAATATGTATCTTTTATTTGAATCTGATTTGACTTGAAAACTATATATCCTCCCTCTGATCTGATCTTACTCGAAAATATATATCCTCCACTCGACTTGACTTGACCCGAATTTTTAGAGTATAAATTTGACCCGACTCGACCCGATATAAAATAAGGACTTAATAAAAATAATAATTTTTTAAAAGAAATTACATTATTATCCTCGGGTCGGTTCGGGGTTTTTTCACCCTCCACCCGAATCCGACCCAACCAAATCACCTCACCCCATTAAAAATCCGACTCAACCTGAACCTGATTATTTTAACAAAAATCTGATTCTATTGGATCGTGTCGGGTCAGAATCCGTCAGTTTCGGGTTAAATGGCAACAATTATATATGAGTGTGTATTGAGCATAAATACTTTTAAAATAAAATGGCAAAAGAAATGGGTGACCTTAAGTACAAGCTCCATGCAGTTGGAAGAAACATCCACCATCAGCTCTTTGATGGTAACAAATATATTGAAGTCGAAATCAATCCCATGTCTCTTGAAGGTCCTGGATTCCTCATCTTTTGTCCTTTCAATTGCATCCAATTCTGTCTTAATCTTCACCCACAAGTAAATAAATATTTTTATATTTGTATCTAATCGAGTCAGATTTTTATTCGATGTAAAACTTTTTTAAATATAAGTCGGATCAAATTTTTAAATGGAATGAGTATCCTTTTGAGATCGGATCGAATTGATAAAAAAATCGACCCGTGATTATCTCAAAAAAAAATTGAGGACTCAGTCCCTCCTAGACCCTTTTTAATTTTGTTCATATTATCCCACGTTCATATATTTAGGGGTAAACTATACATTTAGTATCTAACCTATTACTTTTGTTCTGTTTTGGTATCCGAACTTTATTTATTTAAAATCATACCTAACATTTAGTTTATGTTTCATTTTGGTACCTATTGTTAAAAACTTAGTAGTGTTGACATGTCACCGTAAGATAATGTCATGTCATCATTGAAAACAATAAAAGAAATGTCACATCAAAAATTCTATTAATTTTTAACGAAGAGTATCAAATAAAAACCTAAACCAAACGTTATTAATGATTTTTGGAGAAAAAAACAAAGTTTACGTATCAAAATGGAACAAAAGAAATAGTTTAAGTACTAAACTTGTAGTTTACCCTATATTTAAAGAATCATATAAAAATATTAGATACAAATATTTTAAAAATAAAAAAATTGAAAAATAACATAATTAAAAAGGGTAAAGTATGTATTTAGTATTTAAACTATTAGTTTTGGTCTGTTTTAGTACCTAAACTATTAATTTATTCAAAATCATACCTAACATTTGGTTTTCATTTCATTTTAGTACACCGCTGTTAAAAACTTAACGCGTTTAGTACCTAAGCTATCAGTTTTTGGTCTATTTTAGAACCTAAACTTTCAATTTTTCAAACTTTAATGTTAAATTTTAAACGGGGTACTAAAATGAAATAAAAACTAAAATTTTTAACGACAGGGTACTAAAATGATTCAAAAACTAAATTATAGGTATGCTTTTGAAAAAATTTGAAAAATTAGATATTATAACGGATCAAAACTGATAGTTTAGATACTTAGCCCATAATTTACCGATTAAAAAATCACCTTGGTGAAATAGCGATCGAATCTGATCAACAGTTGTGCAGATGGTGACTTCACTTCCCAACTCTTTAATTTAGAAACTATGGAGTTTGCTTTAGAGAACAACGCGGCGGCTGCCCTTATCGTTTCCATTTTCTTGGTGGGGAAATCCTCAAACTTCGCAAGCACCTACACCTTAAAGCATTAACAATCATGAGGATTAAACAAGTTCAGACGTGAAGATAAGGATTAAAATGATCATTCGAATAAAAGTTGAAGGTTAATTTTGATATTATAAATTTTAGGGTAAAGTATATGCTCTCTAGCTATAAGATACTATTTTATCGAGTCTCTTAACTATTAAAAGTCACAAAATGATCCTCTAACTACATGAAGTTGCTTTACCGAGTCCCTCGACTCTTAGAAGTTACAAAATAGTCACTCGATTATTCATTATGTTTCGAACTCGTCTTTTTCCATTAAAAATTTAACGATCGTCTGAGTTGGACTTTAACATGTTGATTGAGATATGATAATCATTTGAGATTATGAGATCAGATTCTATCGTATCCCAGTCAGCATGTTAACGTACAGCTCAGAATGCTGTCAAAATTTTAACGGAAAAAGATGAGTTTGGAACATAATGAACAGTTTGGTGACTATTTTGTAACTTTTAATAGTCGAGATACTCAACAAATCAACTCTTTATAGTCGAGAATCATTTTGTAGTTTTTAATAGTCAAGTAACCCTTTACCATTCAAAAATAATAATAATCATTCGAATAAACGTTGGAGTCTTATTTTTACATTATAAATTATATATATCATCCATGAATCAATATATATATATATATATATATATATATATATATATATATGACCTGACTTTCATCGGTCAGATCTTCAAGGATGTAATCCATATCTTGTTGGAACTTAACCAGCTCATTCATGTCCTTCGTTTCAAAAGAGTTGATGGATGCTTTCAATTCCAATATCGTCTTGCCATACTTCTCAACATCTTCTTCAATTTGTTTGAAGAATGGTGATCTAAGACCCCAACAAATAAATAAATTCAATTTAGTCACTCGTCTTGAAAAAAGAAAAGAAGAGAAAAATAAGCAACAAATGTAACCTTTGCGTTAGTTCTAGCAACGAAGCTGCCAATCCTTCTTTTCCTCCGGCAGAACCCCCGAGTTGCTTCCTGGTTCGACTAGTTATCTTAATTTGCAACCTTGACCCTTCCAACTTTATCCTCAAATCTCTGAAGAGATTGCTCATTATGCTTGATTTCTTCAGTTTACCAATGGAGTGGTTTCGGGTTAACAATTTCCCTGCACTGATTGGCGGTGGCGGCGGCGGCCCACCACTACTTTTCGGTGCCATAGCTGGCGGAAGCTGTGGCAGCGGAGCTGCCGGTGTGGTTTTGGTGATGCTTATGTGTGAATATCGGATAGGTTTGCTTTATGGTGAACTTTGACGAACAAGGAGGAATACAAGTTTGCATGTTTATAAGAGATTGAAAATTTTGGAGATATAAAATAAAGAATGAATTAAATATAAGGATAAACTACATTATTAGTCACTAACCTATTATTTCATTGCTGTTTTAGTTACTTAATTATTTATTTTGGCAGAAGTATCATTAACGATACATTTTTCCTATTTTGGTCATCAGCTTTTAAAATTTAAACGACGATTTGACATGATATATTTTTTAAGGATAAAGTACATAAATGGTCCCCGACTATAGGATATTACTTTATTAAGTCTCTTGACTATTAAAAGTTATAAAATGGTCCACATACTATAGAGTGTTGCTTTGTTGAGTCCCTAGATTGTTAAAAGTTACAAAATAGTCACCCAATTATTCATTATATTCCAAACTTATCCTTTTCTGTTAAAAAACGGATGATATTCTGAGTTGAATGTTAACATGTTGATTGTGATATGATAAAATCTAATATCAGAATTTCAAACGACTATCATATCTCAATCATTATATTAACGTCCAGCTTAAACAACCGCCAATGTTTTAATAGAAAATGACGAGTTTGGAAAATTAAAAGGAGTAAAAAAAACACGTCAGTAATGCTGTTAATTTTTTAACGATTGTTGATAAAAATAGAAGAAAAATAACGTTAGTGATGCATTGGTTAAAAAATAATTAGATGGCTAAAAGAGGAAAGAAATAATAGATTACTGAATAATAGCATAATTTATCTTAAATATCAATGTATGACTCTCACCTGCTATTCAATGGCATATGTTGCATGCTATTAGGTTATTCAATGGCATATGTTGCATGCTATTAGCTTAAGCTTTGCTCTATCAATGATTTCCTTGTTTTGATCCTAACAATAAGCCAAGCATATATGATTAATCACACATAATTTACTTGAATTTAATTTTACAAATATTTCATTTGATTTATTTTAAAACATATATATATATATATATATATATATATATATATATATATATTAATTCAATAAATAAATAATCTTACCCATGACTAAGAACAACCTCTCATAGCCGAAAACGACGTAAGACGAGGTAGTTCTCATCTTTATAATCAATCGATCAATTATGTAACTCGAGAATAAAAAATAATCGACATTGTTTATAAAGGAAATCGAAATGTTTTGGTAAAAGCAATTAGGGTTCTTGAGACCCCCTCATCCCTCTCCCACCCAAGAAACAATCTCTCGTCACCAACAAACCAAAAGCAACATGATGGCACTTATGAATCCTATAAAATTAGATGGTAAATTTTCAAATTAGATAAATTTAAAGCCAAAAATGGAAAAAAGGTAGAAATTGGAGGAGAGGGAAACGGAGAATCCGAACATAATATAATCATGAAGAAATGGATGATGGAGGGAAAATGAAGAGAAGCAAAAAGAGAGAAAGGGAGCCTTAAATAGAATTTTAAAATAATCAAGTATTGAAACGTGTAATGCTTGGTAGTATTGCCTAGGGCTGTAAATGAGACGAGACAGATCATGAGTTATTCGAGATCGACTCGATCAAAGCTCGATAAATACTCGAATCGAATGGACTCGACTCGAGCTCAATTCGAGTTCTTAACGAGCCGAAATGAGCTACTCGATATTCGGCTCGAAAAGCTCGTGAGCAGCTCGAAAATATAATATATTAAGATTTTATTTTTTTAAAAAATAAATTATTAATAATATTAATATTTATGTATTGACTTTTTTTAAAAAATACAGTAAGATTTCATGTATTTAAGGTTCATGTTCGAGTTTGAGTTTTACGTTTCAATCGAGTTAAGTTTAAGAATTTTTTTTTCATTTCAAGCCTTTTCGAGTTGCTCACGAGCTTAAATTCAAGATTTTGAGTTCAAATCGAGCTTGAAAATTTTAAGCTCGCGAGTTTTCGAGTCGAGTCGAACTTCATTTCAGAGTTTTCGAGTCGAGTTTACACCCCTAGTATAGTCGAAGTACTTAATAAAATAATACCTTATAGTCCGGTACCATATGTATACTTTACCCTAAATATTAATATTATCTCTTTTAATAATGTCCACTTCAAATTTAGGCTTAATATACTTTTAGGTGTCGAAACTATACATCAAAATGATTTTTGGTGCTTAAATATTTTTTTGTTAAAAATAGGTGACTAATATTTTTTCTGTTACACTTTTAAGTGTATACCGTTAAAAAAACATGTTAAATGACATGTGTCATATTTATATATATATTTAAAAAATATTTAAAAAATATTTTTTAAAATCTAAACATGATACATATCTCTTGACGAATTTTTTAATAGTAAACACCTAAAGTATAACAAAAAAATAATAATAAATATTTATTTTTAACGAAAATATCTCTAACACAAAAAAGTTAATTTAAATATAATTAAGGTACGTAAAAGTATATTAAACCTCAAATTTATTAAACGTTCAACACTTGTTATTCTCTCATTGAAGGTTACGGGTAAAACCCAGACCCGGCTCAGTAAACGAAGGCCAATCAAACAAACCGTCGCATTTACCCAACAACCGCCAAATCCAGCTAACCTTACCTTCTCCAAAAACTACACTTTGATCAAATTCACTCACCAAAAATCCCAACCAAAACAGCATAAGATCTAAAACCCTCCAGATCTGGAAACACTCGTCTCTTCGTCCTTTCCTAGTTATGCGGAGGTAAGACTAATTATCTTATTCATCTTACACGAATTTTTTTTTGTTTTTCATTGATGCAAACAGGTATATTGTTGAACTCGGATCCTTTTTCTTTTGTAGGCCGGGGCTGCATAGGCAGCATGGAAAGCAAGGAGGAGGAGGAGGAGCGAAGGGAATTTACGTTAAGCTCGCGGTTTCTGTTGTGGTGCTTTTGATCTGCACGTTCTCGCTTTTCTTTTCGTCTACGATCGGTGGAAATCGAGGATCTCTCGAGCCTTCTGAGGTTAGTAGTAGTGTTTAGAATGTGAGATCTCTTGATTTTGGATAATGGTGTTTGTTCGTTTTCTGATGAATGTGCGAGGAAAATGACAAGAGAGTTTGAACTTGGAGTAATGACTGAGATCCGTTAGTGTTGTCTTTGTTTAGGAGTTTAATGGAGTAAATTTGAGCCACGTGTTTCATTTGATTATGATATGTTGAGATTAGTCATTGTTCGGAGCTTTAATTACTCTGTTCAATTAAAATTAGTGTATTGAGTTTTTGGATTGTTAAACTTAAAGTTAGAAATGTTATGATGATGAAAATTTGTTATGATTGGCTGCTAGGTTTACAGGACGAATGAATATTTAATAACATTAATGTGACATCCAATGCCAAAAAGATAGTAGAAAGCCTTGCATTTATACTGTTTGATAGTTTGGCCATTATAGGTGGTTTTAATTTTTAGATAATGTGTCGTTTATTTCTCTTTTGAATAGTCCCCTTTTATGTAATTATTTATGGTCCCGGTCAAGATCATAGATTTATTTGAATGTTGGGGCCTAAATATAAACTGAGGATTTTCTATCACATAAGCCTTCATTTGGTTAGTTGTGGATAGTCTCGTAATTGGCTTTTGTAATCTTCATATAGCTCATGCATTTACCTATTAATTACATAAAATTTGTCAAAGACTCAAAGTATAAATGCTTTATATATTGCTTTGGTCTGGTGTTATGTTGATTGCAAAAGAGAGTACCATTTCTTGGCTATCAGAAACTAATTTGTTTTTATGCATGGTTACTCTAACCAGATTTGTTGATAAGTTCTGTTACCTTTATAGGATGCTCTGTACTCAAGTAATGGTGCACGAGACTGGTTCTTGTAGTACTTTGAACTGTCTGCATGTGTGAGCTGAGCCCGTGATTAGGATTTATTATCATCCTTTTTAACTTTTACTTGTTGGTCAGCAGTGTTGATCCTTTGAGCATTTGACCATTATTTCATCTGACATGTTTATTCAGATTAATGTCGAAGAACTTTGGGAAAGTTCCAAGTCTGGTGGCTGGAGGCCTTCATCTGCTCCACGATCTGATTGGCCTCGTAACTACTCATAACTTTGTAGAAGAAAAACAAATCTATTTGACTTGGTTTCTGCAAAAGATGCAAGTTTCTGATAATTATAATTGTTATATTCTGGCAGCTCCTCCAAAGGAAACTAATGGCTATCTTCGAGTTCGTTGCAATGGTGGTCTGAATCAGCAGCGCAGTGCGGTTTGTCCTAAATTTGTCCATAAACTCTAATCTGATGCATTCTGTTAATGGCTTCTCCAATAAGATTATATTGGGTGCAAACCAGCTTGAGTTTTTATGTTAGATGTTTTAAATTCTTTACCCAAAAGTGCTTATGATTCATTACCCAAGTTTAAACTAGGCTTAGATTTTGGTTACACTGCTTCAATGGTGTACTTGGAATAAAAATAGTAAGTTCACTGCTTTTGATGTTTTAGATCTGTAATGCGGTTCTTGCCGCACGAATTATGAATGCCACGCTCGTACTGCCCGAGTTGGATGCAAACTCCTTTTGGCATGATGACAGGTAGTCTTGTCCTTTTTTCAATTTCCCTGAAATTAGATGGTTACCATTCGATGATGAAAGCAGTGAAATTTCAATGCTATTAACACTAAGATTTTAAATAAACAGTTCAAACACTTACTTGCAAATTCTAGGGTGGAGTTTTAGGATGTTAATTTGTCATTTGCTTTTTTCTTCCACAGTGTGGATGCAATATGTAGTGAGTGAAATTCTAATGTCTTACATTGGATAGCTCAACAAGGTTAATCGAACATTGTTAAATAACAGAGAGTGGTTTGATATTTTCCTCCTCTGCATAATTAGTGAAGATCAACATATGTTTGATTTCTATGGCTTTGGCTTTCCTAATCTAGGTTGTTTTCTCTCTTTGGCATCTTCTAAATAAACTTGCTATGGTTGCAGCAAGTTTGTGTTTATTTGTTTGGTATACTTATCATCATTTCAATTTATTCTAGTCAAAGTTAGCTGTAGGATGTTTTTTACTGTCGCTTCTCCTTAGAATTGAAAAGCTATTGAAGGTGTATTTCCAAAGTCTACATTGATTTGCTGCAAATATGTTTGATGTTTTATTTGCTTTGGTCGAGAGCATTAACTGTTAATCAGCCTAAACAATAACTGGAAAGATACATGTGTTTATTACGTAGAATATGTTTCCCGGATCTTCAATGCGGCCAATTGTCTATGTTTCTTGTGGATCTTTTGCAATTAAATGTGCTGATACCATCTTTATTTCTCCAGTGGTTTCCAAGGTATCTATGATGTTGAGCATTTTGTCCAGACACTGAAGTATGATGTACGAATAGTGGAAAGCATACCCGAAACACGGAAGAATGGAAAAACCAAGAAGATAAAAGCGCATCAAGTGAACTATTGATACCTTTAATTGTTAATTATACAAATAATGTTATATTCAGTTGTTGAAATTTTGTGCCTTTTCTGTTCTTGTTTCCTTTTCACTTTGTCCAGATTCGCCCCCCTAGGGATGCTCCTATAAGTTGGTATACAACAGTTGCTCTCGAGAAAATGCAGGAGCATGGTGCTATTTATCTAACTCCCTTTTCACATCGCCTTGCTGAAGAAATTGACAATCCGGAGTATCAACGTTTGAGGTGTAGAGTTAATTATCATGCTTTAAGGTTCAAGCCAAAGATTATGAAATTAAGTGAGTCAATCATTGACAAACTCCGTGCACAAGGTCATTTCATGTCGATACATCTTCGTTTTGAGATGGATATGCTGGCATTTGCCGGGTATGTTGTATCCCTTACCTTATTGTACCTATATTGCTTCATATGTAGCGGCCATAGATTGAGCGTTATGCACATAATTTTGCTTGGGATTTGTGCTCTTATTGTACCTATATTGCTTCATTTGTGCAATAAGATGTATCCCTTATCTTACTGTACTTATATTGCTTCATTTGTGCAAGATAAAAGAAATGTAAAGAGGTATTTTTTCTGGAAAAAAAATACATGAGATCTCGAGTATTGCAAGACCATTTAGACATGCATATATCTGTGTTTCAAACACACTCATGCTTTCGGTTGAAATGATTATTATTGCTTTAAATACGTTAAATACGTGTGCCCATTTCCTCTCCTCGTGTTGAGGCTGATGCATTTTGCTTGACAAATGATAGTAATTAGTAAATGCATCCATATTTCATTATTTTTGATCCACTGTGTGGCCTCTAGTTTCTATATTGTATTGACTATTAACACATGAGTTAACATAACAAATGTCATAATACACATAAAGACCTCGATTGGCTGACGTGCTCGGATGCTTTACAGGTGCTTTGACATATTTAGCCCTGAAGAGCAAAGTATATTGAAGAAATATAGGAAGGAAAATTTTGCAGAGAAAAAACTTGTTTATAGAGAAAGAAGGGCCATTGGGAAGTGCCCACTGACTCCAGAGGAGGTAATCTATCATGTTAATCGTTCCTCCAATGGTTTTTCTCTCGCTACTTATACACAAAGTGGCAATGGTGCTTTGTACATAAACGAGCGTTTGAACTGCAGGTTGGTCTTGTCTTACGTGCTATGGGATTCGACAACTCTACCCGGATATACCTAGCAGCTGGTGAATTATTTGGCGGAGAGCGGTTTATGAAACCATTTCGTGATCTGTTCCCTCGCCTTGAGAATCACAGTTCTGTGGACTCTTCAGAGGAACTAGCTGCAAACACGAGGGGGTTGATAGGCTCTGCTGTTGATTATATGGTCTGTCTTCTTTCAGACATTTTTATGCCAACATATGATGGACCAAGTAACTTTGCCAACAATCTACTCGGTCACCGACTCTATTACGGTTTTCGGACTACAATTAGGCCAGACAGGAAAGCTCTTGCTCCAATATTCATCGACCGAGAGAATGGACGGACTGCTGGTTTTGAACAAGCTGTTAGGCGAGTCATGCTTAAAACAAACTTTGGCGGACCTCACAAGCGGGTGCCACCCGAATCGTTTTATACAAATTCTTGGCCAGAATGCTTCTGTCAAGTGTCACCTAAAATTCCTGCTGACCAATGCCCACCGGATAACGTTTTGGAAATTTTAGACAGACAGTTAGAGAACGAAGTAAGTAGTGACCTAGCACCCATGGCCGGAACAAATTCAACACGCCAAACGGAAGTATGAGAGTTTCGATTCGGATTTTTATATGGTATGCATCTCCTTGGAAACCACAGAAAGGAAGTGATTTGGTCTGGCCTTGTTGAGTTATGGATGTAAGCTTCATGACTGTTTTCTTCTTTACTTATGCTCATTTTGGCCCTTGAACTATACCCATTTCTCCTCAGTTAGGATCCACTTGTACCCAATGTAAAATTAAGAATTTTACACCATTTTAAGACCGTTGGATTGAAGGAAATTAAAAGCCGAGATTAACTCTTTTTTTCCAGTGAATTTCTTCTCATCTTCTACTGTTAATTTCTGCCTTTGATTTCTCATCTAATGCTCCTAAAAAGGTAAGAGTTTTACACTAGGTGTGAACGGATCCTGTCCCGTGTGTATATATCAAAATCAAAAAGCGGGTATATAATTAAATTTCTGAACATTTTGTAGGAGATCACTAGAACAGATTGGTTTGGAGCACATGACCCTAGTTTTTAATTGGGAAGGTAAGTTCTACAGTTGAGATTGTATTTGTTTAACATGCTGTCCCCCTAAAAAAGAAAGAACCTTGGGTATAGTGATGCCTGATATCTTTAGAATTACGATGATGATGTTTATTCGTTTTATTTCCTTGTATTTCAAATATTTATTTTGTATACGACCGGCCTGCCTTGTTAAACTTTCAGATCGATTAGCAATTTTATACAAATGAAAAAGAAAAGCCATTCCGCTGCTCGACTTAGTTCAGTCATTTTAACCCTTAAAATTTGATATGAACGAGGTAAACTCAATATTATTCTGATTCTTCGTATATTTTTAGATATTTTCTATGTATTTTCTATTAGAAACAGTTTTGATCTCTTGAAATTTTAAAAATTCAAGTTCACCCCTAATATAAAACATAAAATCTAGCATCCGTCACTGTTTGTATGCAAAACCTAACGCTGCAAAATCAATCCACCATGAGAAAACAAACGCTGCATAATTCTTTCCACTTCAACACAACTCTAATGGAACAGTAACATTAATGTTATCCTCCTCTGCCTGCGTGTTAGCTCTTACTCCCAACCAATTTACACCCACCAATTTACTTCACAAGCATCGATTCTTTTCCTTTTCTCTCTCAAACCAAAGAACAAAAGGGTTTGAACGGAGGGACCGATGATAAAAGAACACGACATGAATAAGCTTTTTAGCCTACGGCTTGTGAGCGCAACTTGTTCGCAACATACAACAAATGACCGATGTTTGCCGAGGGATAGTTTTGGAGAAGCTTAAGATTGGAAGTGAAATCGCCCGCTAACAAGCGCCTGGGGATGAGAATCAACATCGCACGGCATACCCGAAGCAATGTCTCCTGCAAATACATATGCATGTTTGATGTTTGAATAAATCCAAATCCAATCTAAAACGGTGCAAAATCAACTGTTAGTTTTGAAAGGCTATAATATATCTTTATTTTCCATTAAATAATGCCTAAAGTTTTAAATTCAAAGTAGATGCTTATATTCCATCATCTTATCATTTTACGATTGAATCGTTAAAATCCTTTAAAAACCCATCACCCAATTATTTCTCGACACATAACACAATTTAATTACCTTTTATTTCTTCAAAATAAAAAATCCTAAAATTTCTAATTTTTCAAAAAAACCCTAAAATCCCATCCACAATTTTAAATATTTATTGAACGTTTCCTCTTAGCTATAAGCAACATGTCTGTTATCTGAAAAAATATCAATGAAACTTCAGCTCATCACGAAAATTTGAAGATGTCTGAATCAATGAGAAAATTTTAAATATTTGCTATTTATTTGAACATTTTTAGCATCTTTTGATAGTTTTGTATTACTGAACTTCCCAGAGCTCATTTAAAAAAAAATAAATTCACTAAAACTATCAACATCAGTAATGGGAGTTCTTTCGACTTTGTTTACAAAATATGATAAAAGTGTAATTAAGAGACATGTAAATCATATTTGATTTTTTTTATATTAAATCTAGAACTTGTATAATTTTAATTCTGTTTGTAATATATGCATGATTTTTTGAACCTGCATTTTAATTATAAATTATTTTATAATTTTACATGATTTTACAAAAAGATTAATTTCTGCTGAATTTTTATTGTTGGTCGCTCTGATATCATAATGTGACACATCGGATCGGATCGGGTCATCCGTATTGATTTGAGATTTGAGGGTGTTACACATCATGTATGTCTACTTTTTAAAGTGATGTTCAGATCGATTTGATTCGTGGGGAGGAGATTTCGAGTTTTACATGTAATCCCATATTCAAAAGGATCTGCCTCTGGAATATGCAGACCATGGATAATACAGTAAACAAGAGGGAAAGTACCATTTCTAGAGGGCAATGTCTTGGAACTCAACGAATATTGGGCATCACCCATTCTATTTCTTGCCTTATGTTGCCACCCAAGGGCAAAGGGTCTCCGATACCGAATGGGGACCTCGGCCTCTTCATTGTAACGGCTTGTGAACCGACACCCATTGGAGATAAAGGGCTTCCAGTCAAGCCGCTTTCGACAGAGCAGTCACCGATTAGGGCCGGCATATTGGAAGCTGGTTGGTTCTCTAGAGCTGCAGCTAGTTCGGATAAGGAAGGCAATTTTATGTTATCGAGAGGGATCATCCCTTGGCAATCGTTCGAAACCTTGATAGCCAGTTCGGAAAGCTCGTCTCTGGCTGCTTCTAGACCGGCAGAAGCAGCGGCCTGATCATTCAGAGCTTTACAGGCTTTCTCGAGTATCGACTGTAGGTATTTACCTTGTGCTTCGATTCGGATTTGAAGACGACGTTGTACCTGCCAGGTGAAACCACAAGTATTCTGAACTTTTTAATATCAGCAAGTGGAATTTTTGGAAATATATTTATTTGCTAGCATATAGACATTAAGAATTAACCAACCTCCAACTGTTCATGCAGTTTACGTTGAACTTCCATCTGCACTCGAAGTGCTTCAGTAACCTGGTAACCACTGTTCGGAAAATGAAATCCAGCATTCATCCGAAATTCAAAAAAATAAACCAACAAGATCTTCAAACAAGTGCAAAAGCAACATACTCATTCACATCTTGTGCAACCATTCTCGATGATTCTGTCGTAGATGAGCCAGTGTCCTGCCTTTCCGCAACTGAAGAAGCATAAACGCCAACGAAACATCTCATTAGTGATCAATTAAGAGGGTAGTCGTTGTCAGGCATCTATTTGGTCACATGAGTAATAATTTAAACAGATCTAGACACATACCATCCTTCGAATTCTCAGTTGATTCCTTGGAAGATTGCTTTCCTAGTCTGTATTTCTGCAAAAGATTAAAGAAAACAAGGTATTCGTAAAGGTATTTCTGCTAAAGCACACTCCTTTCAACAACAAAATACATGCAGGTATAAGTGGGTGCACAGAAAGGCACACATTAAGCTTCCTAATTACAGTAATCACATAGTAAATCAGGATCCATCTTCGGTATAGAAACCCCGGGAGCAAAGACATGAAAGCACCAATATAACAAGGGAACAACTTTAAGTCGTGATCATTCATGAGATGGCTGTAATAACGAACCTGAAGGTGTGATTTCAAGTGATACAGGGTAAGGCCTTTTACTCCCATTGTTCTCATAATAGTCTTGGGGGTTGCTTCTGCAATGCATATCGAGACAAAAGAAGTAAGTTACGTCAAGATCTGCAACTTATGACAACAAAATGCTAGAGCAAGACATAACAGAAGGGTACACAAAACTCGAGTCGTATAATGTCTTCATTATCAGCTAGGTTTAGTTCACAGTTCACACGGTATCACTCCGAGTTCCAAACAGAGAAACATGTATGATCAGCCTGCTTCACGAAAGAGTTGTTCTCTCGGAACCAGGCTTGTATCCTTAAAGCATTTTCGGCTATTTTTAACAAGCTAGCTCACTATAGATAGAATGGATAAAGGGTTACAAATGCAGAAGTTTGTGGCACAGTCCTATTCCTCAGCAGTGGTAAGCATAATTTAAAATGAAATGAAGCAAGCATACATCGGAAAGAAGGAAAGAGCATTGCGGTATGATGTTCAAAAAATCATTTCATATCGCTAATCCTTTGGCATAATTTTTATGGAAGAAAATACAAAGACCAAGGATATTCTTCCAGACCAAGACAAAGAACCACAGTTGCTCTAATTTGTCTTCCCATAGCAAGCATGCAGACCAAAATAATTCATCTTAATGGCTCCGAAACAAGGTTTTGTCCTTTCGGTCGTATTTTATTGCTAGATAATTACCCCATAAACATATCCTGGCCACAAGAATCTTCATGTTTATGCAAATATATGTTGCTCATACAAGTACATGAAGAAAATCCATGGCCATAAAATATTAAACAAGAGGTCAAGAATATAGGACCAGCAGATATTTGCTCGAAAGAAGGAGCCGATAGCAATGAGATAAAGAGAGTTCCGATATGCCATAATCTAGTTTCGATCGATATTGGTAACAATAAAAACATTATTCTTAAACCATATGAAAGATTATAATGGAAAAATTTTGCAGCCTGCAATAAAGTCAAAGCTGATATGAAGAACATGGTAAACACATATCTTCTTCATACAAAAACAAGGCAAAGAGCACAACTTTAATCACTTCCATTCAACTTACGAAATTAACACCAATTGTTAGTTCCACAACCAAACTAAGATAAAAAATGACAAAGTGAAACTAAATTTCAAACAACATAGAAACTAGAATTCCAATCTTATCAGAAAATATATATATATATACAGCTGCCAAAGCCCCCAAAGAAACTCAATGACCAAATCTCAAGAACAAAAGGCTACAGAGAACTTTGATTAATACTATAACACATTATTATAACCCAATCAAGCAAAAGGTAAACACAGCAAAAATCACATTTTTACAGCTAAAAAGCAAAAGGAAAAGATAACCCGGAGAGAGAGAAAACTAACTGTCAGGGCCACCGAGTTGAGTAACAGCATCGACAAAACGTTCATGGAGCTCAGCAGTCCACCGTAGTCGAGGCTTGGGGTCCGTCGTTAGGACCAAGCAAGCATCACCGGGCAAGTTGGTCCCGTCAAGCGACCCTTGGTAACCCCCCACACATCCATCTAACGGTAACGACCGAATAGCCGAGTACATTTTCTTCTCAAACTGTTGTTTTTTTCCTCGAGAAAGTGATGGAAAATGCAGAGGAAAATCAATGAAACGGTATGAGCTGAGAGCCCTTTCTCTCCGGATACGGGTTCAGGGCTCGGAGCCCCTAAACTGAAAGGGGAAGAAGAAAATGGGAAGAGAGAGAGAGAGAGAATTACAATAGCGAAGTGAGTGAATATTGAGGCATGCAGAGATTAAGACAGCAATGTGTTGTTGTGTCTTTGTCGTTGTCTTTGTCTTTTGCTTTCAATCTCTCTCTCTCTCTTCCTCTTAATATTTAATTGATTTTTCTTATTTATATTAAAACAAAGGGTAAAGTATACGTTTAATGCCCTGACTATTACTTTTATTTTGTTTCAGTCATTCAACAATTAGTTTTTTTCAAAATGGCTTAATACAAAAAAAGTGTCTATCATTAAAAAAACTCGTTAAGTGACATGTGTAATATTTATATTTATATTTTTAAAAATAAAATATTATTTAAAAATATTTTTAAATATAAACGTGACACATGTCACTTAGCAATTTTTTTTAATTGTAAGCACCTAAAAGTATAACGGATAAAATATTAGACACCTATTTTTAACAAAAAAAATTAGGCTTCAAAATTCAATTTGAGGTTTAATTTAGACACTTAAAAGTGTATTAAGCCTTTTAAAAATCATGTCTAGCGTTACGGTCTGATTTTATTTTGGTCATCTATTATTTAAAATGTAACAGAATTGCTGACGTAATATTTTCAAAAAATTTCAATGATGATATGAAATTGTCTTATGGTGACATGTCATCATCACCACTAATTTTTTAAAGGTCAGTGACTAAAATAAAACTAAAATGTAACGTTAAGTATAATTTTAAAACAAAAAAGTGAAATGACTAAAATGGAAAAATAATATTTGGGGGGTTAAACTGTAGTTTTCCCTAAATTTTAATTCATTTAAGAATTAAAATATAAAAAAGTATTTTATTTGTTTTATTATTGATGGGGACCACGTAGTTGAGTTGGCTATTTTTAAACTATTTTCATTTAAAAAAAAGTTTACTTTATTTGGCTAAATTTATAATTTTAAATAATTTGCTTGAGTATGTTATAAAAATGTCAATTACGGAGTAGAATTATAGAGTGGTTGGAGAGACGATTTTCAAATTAATTTTAATTGTTAGCAAAATTAAGATAGAATATTCTTTAACGCTATCGATTTGTTCGATTATAATCTCTAACATTATCGATTTTTAATTTCTCAGTCATTAACTCACGTTCGATTTTAGTCCCTCAAACTTGTTAAGAACTTAAACAAAATGGTGTTAACGAAAATTAATGGCCGAAGGATTAAAATCGAATGGATCGATAACGTTAGAGACCATTTTCCTTAATTTTTAAATTGGTGACCAAAGTCAATCATACCCGAAACATAAGAGACTATTTGCATAGTTTACCCAATATTTAATTATATTAAAATTTTAATTTTTCATGTTATTTTTTTATATTCGACGTTGATAATTTAATTGACATAATTTAAATAATGGAGTGATTTGATTCATAAAATTAATTTAAAGAGAGATTATTAAATTAATTTTTTTATAATTAGTGATCATAAATATAATTTATTCTATAAATAATTAAAGATTAATATAAAATATTTTATTTTTTCATCATAAAAAATCAAGTGTAAGATAAAAAAAATACATAATTTTAGGGTTTTTAAGTGAATATATTTAGATTAAATTTAGATTCTAGTAGAATTTAAACGTGACAAAATAATTTCTATTTTAAATAACCTATAGTTTTAATTATCAATAATTTTTTCTTATATTTGTAACATTTATTTTTATTTTTTCACCATGTTGGTTGTATTAATTTTCTTACATAGACAATACCAAATTAAAATAAAATTTAAACAATTATTATTCGTACTTAACTATTTTCAAATCACAAACGCCTTCGCTATAAAAACTGATTTTGATTAAGACTAGATTATATTATTTTGATGATTTTATTATTTCAAGGGTAAACTACATCATATACCACCGAATTTTAGGTCTTGTATCGATTATACCACTGAACTTTCAAATTTTCCAATTATAACATCGAATTTTGATTTTGATTTTAATTATACTACAGAACGGTTAAATCGTTAACAACATGATAATGTGGTTGACGGCTACTGACATGGTTGACGACTGTCGACGTGCACACCTCACCAAAACGACGTCGTTTTAATCCGACTGTTGGTGATTTTATTATTTTAAGGGTAAACTATATCAGATACCACCGAACTTTAGGTCTTGTATCGATGATACCACTGAACTTTCAAATTTCAATTACAACACTTAATTTTGATTTTTGTTTCAATTATACCACTGAATCGTTAAATCGTTTTTGACACGATGATGTGGTTGACGACTACCGACGTGGTTGACGACTTCCACGTGCACACCTCACCAAAATGACGTCGTTTTGATCTGAATGTTAACGGTTTAACGACTCAGTGGTATAATTGAAACAAAAATCAAAATTTAGTACTATAATCGGTAAAATTGAAAATTTAATGATATAAACGATACAATTCTTAAAGTTCGACGGTATCAAGTGTATTTTACCCTTATTTTAAATTTGAACTACTATGTTATTTTCTATATGAGGTTGCATTGGATTTTAAATTAGTGTAATACGTAACCATGTTTGTATTAATAAACTTCAAGTTGACATTATTTAATAATTTATTAAGATTAAATAACTATATATATATATATATATATATATATATATATATATATTGTTGGTAATGGAAAGTGGAAATCTTATATTGATAAGAGTATTAATAATTATGAATGTTTAGATATAACATTCACACTTTGTCTGCAAATATTATTCATGTTCGTGTTTACATGTATCTATAATATTTAAATATTAGTGTTTCATGGATAAAAAATTATAATATTTTTAAACAATAAAATATCTTTTATCAAGATTTTATGTATTTTGATCCGGGGTGTTAAAAGATATTAGATTAGATTGATTCGATCTGTCAATTCATCGATCTGGTTAAAGAATATCGGGTATTTATAATGAAATACCTGGTTTTTCGGGTCAGGTACCCGACGCGCTATTTTTTTCAAGTTTTCGGGTCGGGCTCTGGTCACAAAATGTTGCTTAACTAGGTACCCACCGATCCGGTACTCGGTTTCTTATATATATATATTAAATTTTTTTATTCATAATTATCAAATTATTTCATTCTAACATTCTAAATTCCTAATTTCTTAAATTTTGTCACCATAATATTCTAAATTTTTAATTTCTTAAATTATTTCACATTAAACTTCTAAATTATTTTTTAAAAATATTTTAACAGATATTACACATAAAATTTCAAAAGAAATATTTTAAAAGTATTTAATATTATAATTAAAAAAATCTTAAATCCACCACTGATCAACCATAGTCGGTATGTGGTCATCACCATTGACACCACCAAAAATGTTTTATGGACGATATCAAAATCCAATCCCCCACCTATCATGAAATTACGTCGATCATCGTGAAAAGCACCGCAGAAGGTTGTTGATTTTCTAAGTTTTTCTTTGTTGTTTCCGGTGATTCTGACGGTTATAGCTGGTCGTACGTTACACGATTGTCGGAATTGAGTTTCTCGTCCTGCTCCGAACAAAACTCAGCTTGTGGTGACCCTCGTCGTTGGAGGTGGGGGATGGGAGGGCAGGGACGACGAGTGTTGATTATTTTTTAATTTTTCATTTTTTAAAAAAAATAATATTTTCATTATTAAAAAGATAAAAAAAATATATAACACTAGAGACTTAAAAATGTAAAGGACAAAATGTTAGACACCTATTCTTAACAAAAAAATTCTTTAAACATCAAAAAGTCAATTTGAGGTATAGTTTAGCACCTAAAAGTGTATTAAGCCATTTTTTAGAACTTTTAATTAGATTGAAATTGTTTAAGGGTAAACTATGCAAATAGTCCTCTATGTTTAGGGTATGGTCGATTTTGGTCACCAATTTAAAAATTAAGGGGAAATGATCTCTAACGTTATTTATTTGTTCGATTTTAGTCTTTCAGCAATTAATTTTCATTAACGCCTTTTGTTTAAGTCTCTAACATGGTTGAGGACTAAAATCAAACGGGATTCAATGTCTGAGAGACTGAAATTGAACGGATTGATAATGTTAGGGACCAAAATAGAACGGATCGATAACGTTAGGGACCATTCCCCCTTAATTTTTAAATTGACGACCAAAGTCAATAAGACCGAAAAACATAGGAGACTATCTGCATAGTTTACCCATTATTTAAATACACTATTACGCCCTTAAATTTATTATTCTTCAAATTTCTCCTCCTAATTTTTCTTTTTTCAATTAATGTACTTCAAATATTTTTTTTGGTTTGAACTTTGAACCATGATTGTCTCGATCTAAGCATACATTTGTACCAATCTATCATCTCCTTTTCTCTTTCTTAAAGTTCCTAAATCATGGATGAACTCATTGAGTTTTAGAGTGAGAGTTAAAATTCTTCAAAACTTGAGAAATCAAAATTAAATTCATAAAAAATAGTTGAGTTACTATTCAGTATCACTAACCCTAGTTTCTAAGCTTACTAGTTTTTCCATCAACCCTAAATTATACTTATTATTGTTAATATGTGAATTCAAATAAAAAAACCGAGCAAATGATTATCGTGTCAATGAATAAACTATATATTCTGCGAAGGTAACTACTCGAACCCAAGAATTCAAGGAAGAATAATATTTTCTTTAATTATTCGGTAGAATTTTTATTTATATATTAATTTTGTTTTAAATTGATTTTATTTGAGAATTGAACATTTTAAATATTGATATTAATATTCATAACTCAACTTGTGAACTTCTCACGAATGGTCTGCGAAAGACTAACAAAATCTCTTATTTAGCGTTTCACCCAAATGTGAAACACATAAGCTATCAACTGCTGTTATTTGTAAAGGAATGTAACAAGGTTTTATAATTAAATTTGTTTCCACTGAGAACGTGCTTTAATTGCCACCACAAAAACCTCATCCACTTCCGAATCCTCCTCCCATTTCCCCTCCGAAACCAAAATTATTGTCATTGAGGTATTATTGGAGATAAAGAAGACACAAATTTTACGTAGAAAATCCCTAAATAATATAGGGCAAAGATAGAAGAATTTCACTATGAGAAAAATAGGAATTGCAACTTCTCTCGATCTAACAAAGAGAAAACAATAACAATTTTCTATTGATAAAAAAGAGAAAACAACTCTCAATAAAACTATCTAAATTCTCTAGTATTGGGAGAAAGCTAGAATGATTTGGGATGGTTTTGAAGCTAGATGGGTTAGGGTATTTATAGTTGAAGCTTAATGACTAATCTTGCAAATATTATAAAGTATAGGGATTAATTTAACAATTTTACCATGCCATAAAATTCAACAATTTCGGTGAATCATTGATCAGGCTGCGATTGAAGCTAATATTATCGCTCATCTGCTTCATCTGCTTCAAAATGCTAAACTCAAGGGAGAAGTTGCACGGGTTATCTCAAATGTTACATCTGGTGGGACACATGATCAGATGTATGAAAATTGTTCCTTATATATTAACCGTTTAAAATCATGTCTTGGGTTATAAGTTACCTCATCCGGGGGGCATGTTTCAGGTTCCTTGTAAGTTAAGATTACATCAGTCTGTTGTGTGATCTTCTTAACTGACGTGATCTTAGTACAGTTAAAGTTTACTTGTATCAGGCGTCATACTCTCGAATTTGATCATTTTTAGTCCTTGTAATTTATTCATATCATATTTATATTATTTGAGATAAGATTGAATTTCAAGGTTAAAAAAATATAGGGATTAAACTTGATCAAATTAGAGTACAAGGATTGAATCCACAACTTATACATAGTGCATGGAAAAATGAATTAGTTTGACCATTATATCAGGGGATTGTATACTCTTTTGAGAGTTTTCACCAAAATGTCAGTGTATAGTGTATAAAATACAAGAGAATGATTCTATAAAAATTTTGGAAATATGTTTAAACCCATAATTTTAAATTAAGAGCTGTTGCCATCATTGAAAAGATCCATTCTTCTTCAAATTTTGAATTGGAAGTTGTTTCCTTTACACAACTTATGCATATTTACTTTACTGAAGAATATATTCGGCTATTTGTAGGTTACGATGGCTATTTGTAGGTTAGTATGATAAATAGATTCGACTGTTAGTAGATCACGTAGGTCGGTCAAATTAAAAGTTGTTGCCTTTATACAGCTGCTTATGCATATATACTTTTGTTGGCTTTATACAGCTTCTGATGCATATATTCTTAACTTGTTCCCATCATTCAAAAGATCAATTATTCTTCAAAATTTGAATGGGAAGTTGTTGCCTTTAGACAAATTATGCATATATACTTTACTGAAGAAATGAATTATTCTGAAGTATAGTTTAGGTGTCAACATGTATGTGTGTTTTCCCTCACATAACACAGTTGTCATCCCCCATTGTTCTATCTTTCTATCCCACTCTTTCCTTTTACATCAATTTCTTCATTTTCTATCTTCTTTGAGATGGATTCCCAACTTTCCAGCAACTGTGATCACCGTTCGTGTAAATATCTTGACAAGGTTGAAGGGAAATGTTGTGCAGAATGTGGAGGGAAGATCTCGGTCTCGGATGGTGCCTTTGCTTGTCAAGGCTGCAACGGTTGCCTGCACAAATCATGCGCTGTTAAGGAGCCTCGTCGTGATCTGTCTCATGAGATTACGCACCCCCTCCACCTGCGGCACCGACTTCAACTCGAATGGAGTGGTTTGGATTTCATTTGTGATAAATGTTTGTATATATCTGCTGGGTACGGATACAGATACAGATGTGCTTCCTGCGATTTCAGTCTTGATTTCGCCTGTGGTTCTCCGGCCAGTGGTGAGCTTCCTAAAGATGAAGAGCCGCTGAGGTTTAAAGATGGGATGAAGAAGACAATCCAGCATTACAGCCATACCCACAAGCTGAGCGTCTTCAAATATAGGAAGATACACAAAGAAGACTTGGATTGTTTCTGGTGTGAAAAACATCTATCGGGAGTGTGCCATGGTTGTCCACGGTGCAAGTTCCATCTTCATCCCGGATGCAGTGATAAGATACCAAGGACACGTACTCATCCATTTCATCCTAGGCACCCTCTTCGCTTAAGCTATCTCGATTTTCATGGGGGGCACTGCAATGCTTGTAATAGTTATGTTCATAGTTATAACACTTGCTATAAGTGCGAGAAGTGCAGCTTCTGTCTTGACATGAACTGTGCTAAACTCTTGCCCACCCTAAAACTTGCCTGCCACTTTCACCGTCTCGCTTACTTCAGAGATACTTCTAGGTTGAACTGCCGCGCCTGTGGCCTGGTTTGCGGTGGTATTTATAGTATTTGTCGTTGTGTGCAATGCGATGTTAGTTTCCATCCAAAATGTGTTTTACCATCAGAAGCTAAATCAAAGTATCATAGGCATCCACTTATCCTAACAGAACCGGTCAAAGAAGATGATTCTGATGAATTTTGTTGTGATGCTTGCGAGAAGGAAAGAGATCCGAAGCATCCTGTGTATTACTGTCAAAGTTGCACATTTGTGGCTCATATTCAATGTCTACTCCCTCATGATGATAATGAGGTAATGCTTCTTTTCACCATTCTATTTAATTTTTACAATCAAAGGGGAAATGTATAATACTCTCATGATTAATTTTTGTTTGATGAATAGGATCAAATTACATCCTCCATGGAAAACGAGGAAGCTTTGTCTGAGAAGGAAATGGAGCAGAATGAAGGGACTAATGGCATCCACACTCTGGTTTGCAACTATTCAATATATTAAACTCAACATTCTTTGGTCTCATTCAAGAAGAAATATCATTACAAGCCAGAGTACATAAGAGCTCCATAGCCAAAACGCAAAACATAGCAGAATAAAGCTTACTGCCTTGTACCCCTTAACAATATAATTCAACCTTCTTTATCCATATGTGATGACATTGATATCTACTTATAATATATAAATTATTCTGCCTCTGCAAAACTAAGAAATATATATATATATAATTTTCAAGAAATGAGTTTGTTCATCCTTTGACATCATTGTTTCTTTTTAAATGCAGTTTAAACCTATCATCCACCAACATGAAATGTACGAGGTAACCGAGGAGTTGAAAGGCAAAAAATATTGTCGAGCTTGTCGTCTGGAACTTAATGGTCCTAGCTACTTCTGTAAAAAATGTAGAGGTGGCTTTTACCTGCATGAAAAATGCACTAAATTGCCATTCGAGATACCACACCCTTTTCATTCTAGCCATCCTCTTTACCTCTCATCTCTCCTTCAAATATGGGGAAGTGGATTCATTACATGTGATGAGTGTAAAGACATTTGTCGTGGCTTCATATATTTGTGCGAGCAGTGTGATTTCAAGCTTGATGTGAAATGCGCTGCTTTAACATCTCATAAAACTAGGGTTTCACAAGAAAAGAAGATGGATAGAGTAGCCGAGTTGCAGCATTTCAGCCACGAACATAATCTTGTCCTTGGCTACTGCAACGACCCTATAGAAAGAACAAAATGCGCAATTTGTGAACTGCCAATCTTAGGTCCAGCTTATTTTTGCCCCAACCAAAATTCCTCTTATATTCTTCATGAGTCTTGCCTTAGGCTACCACAAAAGATTCAAGTCCCATTTCATCTAAAACACATGTTGGTTATCCAAAAATCTCGCAAGTACTCAGACACACCATGTTATGCTTGCCCTTTGAGCATAGAATCATATAACTTTGCATATAATTGTGAAGATTGTCAACTTGACCTCCATCCTATATGTGCTAATTACTTAAAGAGACCCTTGAAATGTGAGTCCCACTTAGATGATCTTTATTATTTTGGGACAGATTTTCAATTACTCTGTGCGAACTCCAGACCATCATGGGAAACCCATTTTTCTTGTTATAAATGTGAAAATATCTGTAAAGGAGAGCCCTTTTATCGTTGTCTACAGTGTTCCATCAATTTTCATTTGAAATGTGTTCCCATACCAGACATTGTTCAATCCAAATATCATCGTCATCCTTTGACCTTGAAAGATTCTTTTGTTGAAGATGATTCTGGAAAGTATTATTGTGATTTTTGCGAGGAAGAAAGAAACTCAAAAGATCATGTATATTATTGTAAAGAATGTAACGGCCAGACCATTGCTCACATAGAATGTGTTATCATTAGAGAAGTAAGTAAATTACATCTATGACTTTTTAAGTATAAAGATGTAATATTTTTTGTTGCTGTGGCAAATATCTAACGGTTGTAAAGAGAGTTCACAGAAGAAGCGAGTTAAAGAGCTCCAACCACAACCAATGCTTGTTTCTCTTCATCCTGCTGTTGAGGAAAAGGTTCATTCTCTATTTTCTTGTTTCCTTGATCAAATTTGTTTTGTAAAATTTTCATATGTTAGATGGTTGTGTCATTGGTCATTGGGTTTGTTCTCATAACATTCAACTACTTGACCGCAGCTGGGAAGTATTCCGGCCATGGTTAGGAGTGTTTGGAGTGATGATAAATATCTGCAGCTTAAGGCAACCACTCAATTCAGGAAATTGCTTTCAATTGGTGAGAATATTATGCTTCAAAATATTTCGTTTCATACTGATTTAAATTGTGTACTTCAAATCCCTTTTTTTATATTTATCAAAGAACCAAGACAACCTATTGACAAAGTGATACAAGCTGGAGTTGTTCCTCGCTTTGTTGAGTTCCTTGAGAGGCCAGATTTCCCACAGCTTCAGGTTGGATTTCCTGTTAGCAGAGCTTCAATATCATGTTAATTATATATTCTAAGATTGCTACTAATTTAATAATTATTTAGTTTGAGGCAGCCTGGGCTCTCACAATTATAGCTTCCGGGACATCTGAGAACACGAAGGTGGTAATTGATCATGGAGCTGTTCCAATATTTGTCAAGTTACTTGGTTCCCAAAGTGATGATGTTAGCGAACAAGTATGCATATGGAATGAATTCATTGAAGTTTTATAATCTTAGTATATATGAAATGTTAAATATATATATATATATATATATATATATATATTGTTTTGAAATCCAGTCTATGCGGGCTTTGGGAAATGTTGCTGGTGATTCTCCTACATCTCGTGATGCTGTCCTTGGACATGGTGCTTTGCTGCCTTTGTTGGCTCATTTGAATGAGCTTGCTAAACATTCTGTGTTCAGAGTTGCCGCATGGACTCTGTCAATGTTTTTACGGGGCAAGCCCCGACCTAGCTTTCATCAGGTTAAACCTTACTTCCTTTCTTTTTTTTTGGGGGGGGGGGGGGAACTGTCGTTGGTTTAACATGAATTAGCAAGTTACTTAATGTTAAATAATATTGCTTTACAATGTAGAATCATTGTATTGTATCTTTGGATTAAACTATGCATTGCAATGAACTGGTAACATTAAACTAGAAAGTGAAGTCTATTGATAATTATAATCTTAGTATTTATTCAGGTTAAGACTGCACTTCCAACATTGGCACGTCTTATTCATTCAAATGATGAACAAGTCTTATGTGATGCATGTTGGGCACTCTCGTATCTTTCTGATGGCACAAATGATGAGATCCAAGTTGTCATTGAAGCGGGCGTATGCAGGCGTCTAGTGGAACTTTTGCTGTGAGTTAGACTGTTTTATGTTGGTTAATTCTGAAAGTCTTTCTGTTTCATAATCATAAGTTCTTTGGCTTCCGTAGGCACCCATCTCCTTCGGTGCTAGAACCTGCTCTTTGCATAGTTGGGAATATTGCCTCTAGAGCTGATGTGCAAACCCAGGTCTTGGACGCTTTGTTTTATTTTGATTACCTTTTGCGTATATATAATAGGAACCATTCTGTATTTTCTCATATTTGGATAACCTGTTGCTACACAGTGCATTATCGGTCATCAGGCATTGTCATGCCTTTTTAAACTTTTGACAAATAATTATGAAAAGAGCATCAAGCAGGAAGCTTGTCGAACAATCTCAAAAATCACAGCCGGAAATAAGGAGCAAATACAGGTACCATTTGGACCTCAATCTTTTGTTTCCCCTTAACTTTATCGATTTCGGATATAAGATTCTGTTTGCATTCATTTGGACAATGAAACGATATGAAATGGTATGGATTTTACAGGCTGTGATTGAAGCTGATATTATTGCTCCTATGGTTCATTTGCTTCAAAATGCTGAATTCGATATTAAGGGAGAAGCTGCACGGGTCATCTCAAATGTTGCGTCTGGTGGGACTCATGATCAGATCAGGTATGAAGATGGTTTCCTATATATTAATTGTTGGAATCATGTCTTGACAGGATATCAATGATAAATTATAACTCATCTGGGGTGGTTTATTTCAGGTTCCTTGTAAGTCAAGGTTGCATCAAGCCAACGTGTGATCTTCTTTTCTGCCGCCATCTGAGTGTAATTAAAGCTTGCTTGAATGTGCTTGAAAACATTCTCAAGGTAGGAGAAGAAGATAAAACTATGGGCACGAGTGGAGGAGTGAATCTCTATGCACAAATGATTAGAGATGCAAGGGGTCTAGAAAAGATTGAAGATTTATGGAGTTTTTACAGATGGAGATATGAATATCATAAGAGTGAATTCTCTCCAGACACCATTGAGATTTATAGAATGGCTGTGGAAGTTAGGAAGATATTGATCGGAGTAAGATGATGCCACTCAATCAAAGTTTAATTCTCGAGGGATTAGTCCCTTTTCTTTTAGGGAGATCGTAAAGAAAAGAAAAGATCAGATTATTTGTTCAATAGAATTCAATTACGATCTCTGATTATTATAGAAAAGAAAAGATCAGATTATTTAAAAATAAATTTTCAAAAAGTTGAAGGAAATTTTATAAAGTTCTCTTCATGTTCATGAATCTATGCTTTGGATAAGGGCCTCTTTAGAGGGGATAGTATCCTTTGTTGGGAAATAAACCGAGTACAAGTAATTTCCCTATAACCAGATTAGTGAGAATGCGAAATAAAAGCTGAAAAATAATACCCGAAATTGATAACGGAGTTCAACCAATTGTGCTTACGTCTCCGGACTCCTGCAGATCTTTTACTAAGAGATAAAATTTACAGGTGTTTACAAAACACTCACTACTCACAAGAAATCTCTCTAGTATTGGGAGAAAGAAATGATTTTTGAGATGGTTTTGAAGTTAAATGAGCTAGGGTATTTATAGTTGAAACTTAGGGACTAATCTTTGAAAATACCCTACAGTGCAATGACTAAAGTGAATTTACCCATTCCTATTTTCAACAAACATCTACCAAACTTTGAAAAACATTTTTCAAAGAAACATTTACCAAACTTTGAAAACCATTTTCAAAGTTGGTTGCCAACCTTTGACTTTTAACAATCTCCCACTTGAAGACTGATTTTAATCTGTTTTCACACCTCAATCGATGCAGCATCATTTCTAGTCTTGTTATTCTTGCATGCCAACTGAAGCTGAACACAACTTCAGTTTGTCAATGGTCACCGTCTTTGTCAACATGTCTGACGGATTTTGAGCTCCACTGATCTTTTCAAGTTTCAAAATCTCTTCTTCCAGAAGAGACCGGATAAAATGATATCGCAATTGTATGTGCTTTGTCCTGGAATGAAAAGACGGATTCTTTGCTAGATGGATAGCACTTTGACTGTTGCAATACAAGACATTGTTTTCTTGTTTCTTGCCTAACTCTTCCAAGAAACTTTGGAGCCAAACCATCTCCTTGCTGGCTTCCGTAATAGTGACATATTCTGCTTCAGTTGTGAAGAGAGCAACTATCTTCTGTAGTTGAGAAACCCAACTCACTGCAGTACCTCCTAGAGTATAGACATACCCTGTAGTGCTCCTTCTGATGTCAACATTTCCAGCTAAGTCAGCATATACATAGCCTGTCAGTATCGTATCTCCACTTTTGAAACAAAGTGCTTTGTTTGTGGTACCTCGCAGATATCTGAGGATCCATTTGACTGCTTCCCAATGTACCTTGCCCGGATTATTCATGTACCTACTAACAGCTCCCACTGCTTGAGCAATATCTGGTCTGGTACAAACCATGGCATACATCAGACTTCCAATTGCTGAGGCATACGGCACCTTCACCATGTTTGCACGTTCTTCCTTCGTCTTTGGTGACTGTTCTTTGGAGAGTCTGAAATGAACACATAAAGGTGTACTTACTGGTTTAGCATCTTGCATGTTGAACCTGGAGAGTACTTTGTTGATGTACTCAGCCTGTGATAACATCAAAGTCCCCGACTTTGTGTCTCTCTTAATCCTTATCCCAAGAATCTGGTTTGCAGCGCCCAGATCCTTCATAGCAAACTACTTCGACAATTTTTGCTTCAAGTTTATAATCTCTTGCATGTCCGAGCCTGCAACGAGCATGTCATCAACATACAACAATAAAATAATGAAGCTATTGTCGAACCTCTTGATGTAGCAACAATGATCTGCTTGGCATCTGGTAAAACCACTGCTACTCATGAAGCTATAGAACTTCTTGTACCATTGTCTAGGAGCTTGTTTTAAACCATACAAGCTCTTCTTCAACCTGCATACTAGGTTTTTCTTGCCTGCCTCTATGAAGCCTTCTGGCTGCCTCATATAGATTTCTTCCTCCAAATCACAATGAAGGAAAGTTGTCTTTACATCTAACTGCTCAAGATGTAAATTCTCTGCAGCTACAATTTTCAACACCAGTCTGATTGTGGACAGTTTTACGACTGGAGAGAAAATTTCATTGTAGTCAATACCTTCTTTTTGCTGAAAGCCTTTGACAACCAATCTTGCTTTGTAGCGTTTGGTCCCATCATGCTCTTCTTTGATCCTGTAAATCCACTTGTTATGGAGTGCTTTCTTGCCTGGTGGTAATTCAGCTAATTCTCACGTCTGATTTGACATAAGCGAGTCCATCTCATCTTTCATGGAAGACTCCCACTTGACTGAATCCTCCACTTGCATTGCTTCATCATAGCACTCTGGTTCACCATTGTCAGTCAGCAACAAGTAGTGCAAAGAAGGAGAATACTGTTGGGTTGGTTTAGGAATTCTGGAGGAGCGTCTTAGTTCCGGTGTGCATGGTTCTTCTTGAACTGCTTCAGGACTGATCTGAACATCATTTCTAGAAATCTCCTCGAACTCAGCAAATTCCTTTGCTTCAGCTTCGGTATTAGAGCTACTTGATTCTACAGTTGACCTGTCTTTGTACATCACATTCTCATTGAAAATGACATATCTTCTTCTGATGATCTTTCGATTTTCGTAGTCCCAAAATCGGTAACCGAACTCATCACCACCATAACCAACAAAGACACATTTGTTGGACTTGGCATCAAGTTTACTTCTTTCAGCAGAGTTTATGTGTATATAAGAAATACAACCAAACACTCTTAAGTGTGAAAGGTTTATTTCTTTCTTGCTCCAAACTTCCTCTGGTATTCTGTCATCCAAAGGAACCGAGGGCCCACGATTGATCAAGTAAGCTGCAGTGTTGATAGCTTCAGCCCATAGAAGTTTGGGCAATCCGGCATGTATCCCCATGCTTCTGGCACGTTCATTCAGAGTTCTGTTCATGCGCTCTGCTACGCCATTCTGCTGCGGTGTCATGGGAACTATTGTCTCCATCTTGATCCCATTGTTTGCGCAGAAATCTCTGAATCTACGATTTCTGTACTCTCCTCCATTGTCAGACCTCAACCGCTTGACTTTCAGACCAATCTCATTTTCCACCATGGCCTTCCATTTTCTGAATGTATCAAAGACTTCTGATTTCTTTTTCAGAAAATAAACCCACACCTTCCTTGTAGAATCATCGATGAAGGTGACATAATATAGTGAGCCTGCAAGAGATGGAACTGGAGATGGTCCCCATACATCAGTATGAACCAACTCTAACTTTTCATCCTTGGGTGTCTTACCAATCTTTGCAAAGTTGACTTTCTTTTGTTTGCCAAAGATGCAATCCTCACATAGTTCAACATCTACATTCTTTAGATCCAGCAGCTTCCCTTTTAAAAAAAGTGTCTTCATCCCTTTCTCGCTCATGTGACCAAGCCTTTGGTGCCATAGGTTTGATTTTCCATCAGCATTTACGGCTGCAATAATATTCTCTAAATTTGAGGTTATATAGAGAGTACCAGTTTTCTTACCACGAGCAATGACGAGTGCTCCTTTGGTAATCTTCCATTCACAACCTGAAAAGGTTGTACTATATCCTTCTCCATCAAGCTGTCCTACAGAAATCAAATTCCTTTTGAGGCCAGGAATATGTCTCACTCCTGTCAGCTTCTAGGTGGTCTGGTTTGGCAACTTTAATCGGATGTCTCCTTTTCCGATGATCTTCAAGGTTTCATCATCGGCTAGATGAACCTTCCCAAAATCACCACTGACATAGTTCTCCATGATTTCTCGACATGGGGTGGAGTGGAAAGATGCCCCTGAATCCAAGATCCATGGGAGTGTTGACGCTTAGAATCATGGCATCACCTGTCTCCTCTGTCATGTTGGCAGATTCTTGTGCACCGGTATCTTTCTTCAGTGCTCGACAATCTCTTTTAAAGTGACCCTTCTTGCCATAATTATAACAGGTAAAATCTTTCTTTCCTGTTCTTGATTTTCCCCTTCTGGATTTCGATCTGCCACGATTTAAATTTCTTTCTGAAGTTCTCCCTATGGACTCTGTGTTGTGCCATCGATGCCCCTTCCGTCATCCGTAAATTGAATAATCGCTTCATCAAGTGCAATTTGTTTGAGGCTGATGGCTTCTCATACATACTGGAGAGAGCGGCCATAAGACCCGCCGTGGTCTTTTTCTTTGCTATATTGAAAGCAACATTGCGGGATAACGTCAGTCGGATAACTCCGAGGGCTTGTCTGTCGAGAAGAGCTCAGTCTTCATTCTTCATTCTTCATGCCCTCTGATTGCTTTCCTGAGAGAGGTTGATATAGATTTTTCTAGTACAAAAAATCTTCAATCTGCATCTTCCAAAAAGCCAAAGTCCGCACCATCAAATTTTTCAATTTTTACATTCCCTTCGTCTGCAGCCATCGCTCCCACTCGAATCTGGTTTCGTTTGGATCGTTTCTGACAATTCTTGCGAACCACCGTGAATTAGAACACCTTCGTCGACAAGCTCGTATCGCCGACAAAAATATTTACTATTCACAAAATTCGCTATTCACGTGAATAGTAATGGATAGTAACCTCGCAAAAAAAAATTAACAAAATTCACAACCAAAAGCTCTGATACCAGTTGTTGGGAAATAAACCGAGTACAAGTAATTTCCCTATAACCAGTTAGTGAGAATGCGAAATAAAAGCGGAAAAATAATACTCGAAATTGATAACGGAGTTCAGCCAATTGTGCTTACGTCTCCGGACTGCTGCAGATCTTTTACTAAGAGAGAAAATTTACAGGTGTTTACAAAACACTCACTACTCACAAGAAATCTCTCTAGTATTGGGAGAAAGAAATGATTTTTGAGATGGTTTTGAAGCTAAATGAGTTAAGGTATTTATAGTTGAAACTTAGGGACTAATCTTTGAAAATACCCAACAGTGCAATGACTAAAGTGAATTTACGCATTCCTATTTTCAACAAACATCTACCAAACTTTGAAAAACATTTTTTAAAGAAACATTTACCAAACTTTGAAAACCATTTTCAAAGTTGGTTGCCAACCATTTTCAAAGCCTTGAAATGCACATAAGGGAAGGA